GTCTCGGTGGTTTCCCTGACTGCTTAATCATGAGGATTGTTAGGAATCGCGCTGGGGGCGCGTCTTGGCCGAGTTGCTTCGAAGCGCAGTGCGCGAGCGCATTGAGATCAGAAATCGCGCTGCCAGGAATCATCACTGCGCCTCCCTTAAAAAACAAAACAATTCAAACATAACGTTCCCCAATAGAACTCGTAGGCAACCCAGGTCTAGCACATGCACCAAGTCGATCGTTACAGGTTCGATTGAAAATCCGGGGATGTCAAACATTGACGAGAGCTCGTGTCCCTCAGCAAAAACCCAAATCATGAAAGATTCGTGGTTGAGCATCGTCGTTCTCCATGCTGCCGTTGCAGAGGCATCTGTGAAGGGCAGTTTCGGTCCTCGTTCAGCGTGGCATTTCCAGCAGCGCCTCGCGTTTTTCTGCCCCCCCCAACCTGGGCGTCAAAATTGCACTCGCCCCCAACCCTGGAATTGAGAAGCATTTTTTTGGGTGGATGCGTAGGGGAAAGGGGGGCGGTGCAATTTCAACAGCCGCGTCCTGTGAGAAACAAGCGCTGCTTCAGCCATTCCCAGTCCCCACGCTTTTGCAAACAACATCCCCTTGCACGAAGGGGTCCCTGACGGCGAGCGCGATCTCGATCACCTTTGAAACCAGATTCGGCAAAGGGTACACCATCGTGGCGAACTGTTGGATGGAACCCCGAAACCATGACCTGGAACGCCCAAGCTAGCACAGCCCAAACAACTTCAAATGTGTGTCTGCCTCGGCAACCACAGTCGCAAGTCATTCGTTTCGCCCAGCCACAAAACCTATGACGCTTATGCGTGTTGCCAGACACGGCAGAGTAAGTCAAGAGATGCAAGGAATCTCTGGTCAAAAACGGTGCCGTATCTCCCCATATATCCCAAACCGCGGTGTTCTCGGTTTCTTCCACAGATAATGATGTCACGGCCGTTGGCCCAGGTCTGTCGTGTCGAATGCAAAGGGGCATCAGGTTCAATGTGGGGCCAGTCAGAAATTGGCCTGGCGTCCGTTTCAATAATCTCCCACGGCAGCGAAAAATACCTTGTGTCATTGAACTGTTTTTGCTTTTCTTCGTCCCAAAATTTTCCATCCGCGGCGTGCGCATCTGGACGACCCGATTCTCTGGCAAGCTTTTTTTCACATTCCTTGACGCATTGGCCTCCCAGCTGGCAGGGCGCTTGGACGAGTCAGCGCCATCGGTCAGTTCCACGACGCCTTTGCACTCAACTTTTTTTTTTTTTTTTTTTTTTTGAAACGGGATCTAGCAAATTCGTTCAACCGCTGCTCTGCCGAAGCAGGACCGTCAACCTCAACCTAGACATCTCGCTCGCGATTCAATTGCTGAAGGCGTTGTTTCACACCGGGCATGCGTTGGCTCGAACAAAAAAGCCTACGCTGGGATGCTGACCCTGGTCCCGCGCGACTCCTCGCTTCCAGGGGCAACGAAATGTGCGAGAAGTGTGCCGAAACGCGCGTTGCCGACATGCCCTCGCATCGCATCAAAGTCCGCGCTCCCCCGTGCCGCGGGGGGACATGCGTGAAGCCAGCTGGGCTCTTCGCATAAATGTATGTATATACATACATGCATTTATATATATATTACGCATATATATATATATATATATATAGATGTGTGTGAATGTGTGTGCGTGTGTGTTCCCATGTGCTGTGCGTTCATGTGCATGTACACATGCAACTCACATCGTCTAAATTTTGGTGGTTTTGCATCACGCACTAAATTTTAGAAGTGCGCCTCCAAAGTGACATCAACTTCTAAACTTTGGAGGGGAACTACCAAACAAATTGTAAGTATCTAAAAAACAGGAGGTTCTGTTGAGCAGGGAATTAGAATCGAGACATAGGTCGGAAGCCGGAGTCGGAAGAGACGCAGCGGGAGTCGGGGAAGACGCGGACAGGTCGAGAGGTGGAGTCGGACAGATAAATGGCCCAATCTTAATGAATAGTATGTTGGTGGGCCGTTTGGGGACCGACGTCGAAATTGTGCAAATTGTAGCGTACCCGTGATATTCGTCACTCCGCGATGCCATGAACAGCCGTAATTACCATCTCCGTAGAAACCCTGCTGTACGCTATATTGTCCAAGGTTGGTGCTATTGCCGTTGTGATGGTCAGTATCGTCCGTGCTGACGTTGTACTTGGCAATGGTGCTGTCAGTGCCGATGTCGTCGCCGGCGTCGGTGCAACCCTTGATGCCAATGCTGGCCGCGGCGTAGGCGCTGATGTCGGCAGATTCGCTGGTATCGTAAGTAGCGTCATTGCTGACGTCGTGGCTCTAGCGTTAGTGCCGGCGTAGGTGCGGGCATTTGCATTGGCGTTGATGCTGCAGGTGTAGGCGCTATTCCCCTGGGAATCGTCGCAAACGTCGGTGCTGGCGTCGGTGCCGGCGCAGGCGCAAATTGCGTTGCCGACGTAGGCGCCGGCCTGGGAGTCGGTGGAGGCGTTGATGGTGTAGTCGTCGCACGTGTTGGCGATGGCGTTAGTGCCGGCGTTTGCGCAGACGTTGCTGCCGACGTAGGCGGCGGCCTGGGAGTCGGTGGAGGCGTTGATGGTGTAGTCGTCGCAGGTGTTGGTGATGGCGTTCGCGCCGGCGTAAGCGCAGACGTTGCTGCCGACGTAGGCGGCGGCCTGGGAGTCCTCGCAAGCGTCGGTGCTGGCGTTAGTGCCGGCGTAGGCGCAGACATTGCTGCGGAAGTAGGCGCCGGCCTGGGAGTTGTCGCAAGCGTCGGCGCCGGCGTTGGTGCCGGCATAGGTGCAGACGTTGCTGCCGACGTGGGCGCTGGCCTGGGGGTCGTCGCCGGCCTCGGTGCTGGCGCTGGCGCCGGCGTAAGCGCAGACATTGCTGCGGACGTAGGCGCCGGCCTGGGAGTCGTCGCAGGCCTCGGTGCTGGCGTTGGTGCTGGCGCAGGCGCAGACGTCGTTAACGCTGGCGCTCTTGCTGGCGCAGGCGCCGGCCTTGGCGTCGGTGCCGGCGTCGTTGGTGCCGAAGGTTGCGTTGGTGCCGGCGTTGGCGCAGACGACATTGGCGTTGGCGCTCTTGCTGGCGTGGGCGCCGGCCTTGGACTCGGCGGCGGCGTCGCTGGTGCCGAAGGTGGCGTTGGTGCCGGCGTTGGCGCAGACGACATTGGCGTTGGCGCTCTTGCTGGCGTAGGCGCCGGCCTTGGACTCGGTGTAGGCGCCGATTGTGCCAAAGTTGGCGCTGATGCCGGCGTAGGCGCAGACGCCGTTGGCACTGGCGCTCTTGCTGGCGTAGGCGCCAGCCTTGGACTTGGCGCCGGCGTCGACGGTGCCGAAAATGGCGCTGCTGGGAGCCGGAATCGGGTGCGCAAAGGAGCGATCAATCCACGAGGACGGGGAGGGATAGTAAAATGAATAGTTCCTGCGTAGCTCTTTTCGCCCCCTTCCTCGCGGGCCGTGGCCGCCATAGCGTGCAATTCCAATTGTATGGTGCATTATTATGTCCATAACGTGCAGCATATCCGTCAAACCGTGTATCCGCATTGTCGTGGATCCTTCCATTCAATATGGGCGGCATGCGCCGGGCCCGCCAAGCGGTGGCGGCCGGGCCGGGCGCGGCGGGGGAAGGCCCGCGAGCCGGTATAGAAACTCGGTCTCGGCCACCCCGGCGTCGGCTGCCTTCCTGTGTAAGACGTCGCGGCCGCCGACGTGTAAGGCTCGAAGCACTTCCAATTGTGCCTCCTCCGTCTGCGTGAGTCGCGGTGCCACTGCTGCAATGGCTGGCGCAAAATACCCTCGGGACGAGTGCATGATTAGCACGCCAATGGATATTCCTGCCGAAGCCCACTCCCGCGCCAAAGTGACGGGGCCGAAACCTGGTACATTGTAGTACGCTGGTGCCCGCCCAAAACATGCGAGCGCTGCATGGGCTGTGGCTTCGTAGCAGTCGCGCGGTAACGATGCCAAGAATGCCCGAGACGAGCCACTGACGGCCCCCCCCTCTGCCCATACTTTCTTGCCACATCGCTCCCCATGGCAATTCTGGAAGTAACCATGACATTAATCTGATTGTCCAACACAGGCGGCCGCGAGTGAGAGAAGCGAGAAGAAATCAGGAATGTGGTGAAAAATGAAGTAGTAGTGAGTGGCAGTAAGATGGGAGATGGGGTATGGGGATGTGGACTTAAGCCTTGAGCCTTAAGCCTTGAGCCAGCAACTTGAGCCTTGAGCCTTGAGCCAGCAACTTGAGGAGATTGTATTTTGGCGTGGGATTTACTGATTCTTCTCCTGCGCATGCTTCTCCACCACACGTCGCAAGTGCGGGGTGCGGGGGCGCGCGACCTTTCAAGCCATAATCGCTATGTTTGATCGGGGGGGGTGCGATGTTCATCCATCCCCAGCTTACCGGTAACAGTTAGTAACATCAACAAGAGAACCGACGCCGACGCCGCCAACAACGCAATCGTTACGATAAAGAACAATTTGATCGTTGTTGACATGGGGGAACTCAGCCACGCCGGTCGGAATCTGATTTCTCAATGTCGACGTTGGGTCAACTTCGGGATCCACACGCCCGCCCAGCAGAGCCAGCCGAACGTCCACCCGTCGGCCTCCAAGACTTCCAACTCGAATAATTTGTCCGATTGCATCAGAACATATTCGCGACCTTCACCCCAAATTGCGTTGCAATGGAAGAAGACAATTTACATAATATTCCCGGCGTCGCATCTGCCCAAGTGCAACAGTGCGCGGCAGAAACCGTACTTTAGGAACTGCGGAGACCAATCCCTCCCCAATCGTAGCGTATGGAACACTCTTGTATGAAAATGAAACCCATGTACATTCACATCCCAATTATGTCGTTCAGGGAACCCAATAATTCTCGAAATGCGTGAGGGATCGTGGTGTCGTAAGCGTTGGTAAGTAAGTCGGTGAATTCTGTCTGATCGTAATGTGCGTGAGTGGTGGTCGAGATGTGGCATGATTTCATGTAGCCTGTGCCAGTTACACGATGAATAGGATGTCTGTTGGATCACAAGTGAAAATATCATCCAACAGTGCAGCAAAATGATCCAAATGGTAACTTGGCAGACAGTCATCGCGCGGACCAACGTACGCGTCTGTCAGGTATTGGAGCAAATGGATCGCCGCATCTGCGCCGCTACGATTTCCAAACAGGACCGAACTCAGGCGAAACATGGACATGTAAAGGCGCAACTTGCAATGCAGTCGCCAAGCTGGAAAGTTCGATCCTGGCCGACGCGGCCAGTTTCATCGCTGCCAGATGCTAGCCTGCCCCGCGCTCGGAATGGGGGGCCGGACAAAGCCCCCCCGCTGTGCCGAGGCCGCCTCAAAGGTGAATCCGCCCCCGCCCTAGCGCGGGGCGGGGCGCCGACGCGCCGCGCCCCGAACGGCGCAGCGAGGAGGAAACAGCATTGCATGTTCGTCGGTAGCAGCGACTCGAGATAGAAGTCAAGAAGCACCGGCGCCGTTGCGACAAGCGCTTTTGAACGGGAAAACGCGACGCGCGCAAAGTTCCCGCGGGCAGGCGTCGACGGCAGCGGCGCCGCTGCGACAAACAATTGGCCTCTAGAATCAACGGCGCGGCGCCGCTGGCGCCGTTGCGGCAAAAACGGCCGCTGCGACGGACTCAGTTTTATCTGCTCGCCTCAGCGCGCTTGGCACTCACTTCAGGCGGCGGATGCGGGCCTGCATCTGCCCCCCCCGCTTGCTCGGTGGAGCCGGGCCCATCACCTCCTCCTCTTTGGTAGCCCAGTCCTTGAAGATCAGGTCGAACGCCTTGCGGAAGTCCTCGGGCGCCGTCGGGTTCACGTTGACGCGGAAGCGATGCCCGCGCCCCTTCGTCTCGTATCCGCGGAACTCCAGGATGTGCCTGCCCAGCTTCTTAAGGCGTCGAACTCCGTCAGAACTCTCTCGATCAGCTCGCGCTGCTGGCTGGCGGCGCCCAGCGAGTCCTTCTTCGTGAGGGGGGCCGCCACCGTCGCATGGTGTGCTGGGGTGTCCTGCCCGTGCCCCTTCTGGCCGCGGACGCTCTTCTCGTAGTTCCCCACTGCCTCCTTCATCGCGTCGTAGTGCGTCTCCCTGGTCGGACTCGGCGCGAGGGACGCGCGGAAGAGATTGGCCGCGTGCGCCCGCGGCTCCACCGCGAGCGGGGCGGGCAGAATCAGCTCGTCGCGCTTCTCGCCTGGCCCCCGCCCCCCCTGTCTGCCGCGCCTGCTTGGCCTGCCTGTCCTCCGGCATGGCGGCGCCCCTCAGGAAGTTCTCGCGCGCCATGTCGGGCGAGCGCTCGTTGAAGGAGAGGCTGCGGCCCTGGAATCAGATCGCGGCGCGCCCCGGCCGACGCGCGAATCGAGGCCAAGTGACTGCGGATGTGCGTTTGCAGGAGGTCGAAGGTCTCGACAGGTTCGCTGTCGCAGAGGGGGCAACGTAGCGAATCGGGAACGACGACGTCGGTAATGTAGGAGCGCCCCTCCCCGGTACAATAACTCCGCTCAGTCGAAGCCGCGAGGTGGTTTCGAGCCGTCAGGCGAGACGCAAACGCGCGTCGACAGATACAGCATTGATTCGTGATCGTGGCCGTGCTCGCCGTAGAAATCTGGCCGTGCCCATCGAAACTCCGCAGCGCCCGTCAGGGGGCGAATCGCATGCCGCATGTGCCATCGTTCTAGCCGGGTAGCTCGCATATGAAAATCGGGTCGGCGGCCAGATCGGCAACGAGATCGGCGCCCCCAGGCCCCCCTGAGCCCGCCGGCGGAATCGTCGTCGTCAGCGCCGCCGCGCGCAACATTCGAAGATCGATCGCCTGGAACAGTGCGGCAGATCAGGGTCGTGAAAGACTCGGAAGGGGAAGGAAGAGCACTCTTCCGCAACAGCTGCGTGATCGTCGAAAATCGTCAGAGCACGAATGTCCTCGACAAGTCGGAAGAAGTCTGCCGGCCTCGTCAACAGTAGGTTCACCCTCGATGCACCCGAAGCCTGCCAGAAGCCACTGCTGGTACAACAGCGGGAATTTGCTCACAGTCTGATACCAGCGCAACCAGCCGATACGTAGCTCAGTGGACGCGTCGGCAAATTTAAAGGACGTTTCAACCTCGGAAGCAAACGCCGAATCGGCAATCTGCGCTCTGAAACGCCGAAATCGGCAATCTGAGCCCAAATCGGCAATCCAATCACCGAGTCGCCCGAATCCGCAAACAGAACGCGCAATTGGCACTCATCCCCCTCGTCAGAACATGAGCACCGAATCCGCAATCACAGCGCGAATTGGCAATCTGAACACCGAAACGCCCGATCTCGGCAATTTCAAACGAGAAACGTCCTAACGGAACTGCGAGCATAGAAACTTCGTGAATACTTGGGCTCGTCCCCAATTGGCTCTCGGAGCGCTGAAACGCTGTCAAACAGAAACCTGGGCACAGCAACGCCGAATTGGTCGCGAAACGCATGAATTGGACTGGGGACGGCGACGACGCGACGATGCCGCATTCTTTTCCTCGCGCCGCTCGTTTCACTGGGCGTCCCACGGCACCACTTGGCTGGGCCAGCTCCACTGGATCTGCTTAGAGCCTTGCTTTGCGAGGTCGGCCTGGGACGCTTGAAAAGATTGTGCCAAATTAAACTAACGATGGGGGCCCGCGCAGCATGAAGCAGGATGCCAGCGGCGGCCACAGTGGACCATAATCCATTGACGACTTCGTTGTAACCGCTCTGCCGGCTGGCGCCGCGAATTAAAGTATGCAGCGCAACGTTGCCATCAATGCGCAAAAACGATCACGCAGTCCTTCAGACCACTTTCGATCAAGCACTCTGCGCTGCAAACAGCCGCAATCAATTCTCAAAATGGAATCTGGGTGCGGCGCGGTCGCGCCCACCTCCACTCTGCGTCGGGAATGGAATGAGCAACCCACATGTGCATTGGGGATGGACCAGCACGAACATAATCCGCCATTGCCAGCAGCGTCTTTGCAAACAAAGCAGCGCCGCATTTCGCGATGCCTTAGAGGGATCACGCGCGTCGGGCAAGGAAACGGCGCCACCAGAGAAGTGCATTTCTCACGCGCCTGGGGATTGTTCCTCGCGCCCGATTCGCCTGCCAGTGCAAGGCGGCCAAATACGCTCTGGCGCCTCGGCCAAAAACTACGAATCCTTCCCAGCTGAGCCGGCCCGCCAACCGTTTGGCCTCTGCTGGACGGAGGAAATCAGCTTCCAGAACACAATCTATGCATCGGAGCCAGTTTTCCGATTTTTCAGAGCCGATCCAGAGCACAATCGCGCCAGGCAGAACCCGGGCGCAAACGCCAAGCACAGTGGCGCACGATTCATCTTCTACTGATTTCTTGGGATCCAATTCCCATCCCAGGAGACCGATCACCTGGCGAGTGCAGTTTGCCGTGCCAGCAGGGCCCTCGAATTCAGATTGACCTTCGACTGGGGTGTCGGCAGAGAACAGATCGTCCACGAATCTGGGCGTAGCAAGTAAAAAATCGCACGCAAGAAACGCCTGAACGAAGCTGCCAAACCTGCGCCAGGAATGCAGAGAGCTCAGTGCCCCAAATAGGCTTGCCAGCAACTGCAGACCTGAGTGTGCCTCAGCCGCCGTGGCCAAAAGACGATCACAAACGGCAAATCGCAGGGGCGGCGATCTAAAAGCGCCCTTGAAATCATCCTTCCGGAAAAGCATCTCAGCGTGCTCGCCGCACTCTGCGAGAAAGCTGAAGCTGAACTGACCAACGTGTCCAAATTATCCACTGGGAGGGGCTCGCCAATGGAAGTAACTGCATTCACATTGGAATCGCTAAAATCGTCTACGAGACGAACCTTGTGAATCAAATTGCCCTCAGTTGTCTCGCGCAGACCTTCGCAGTGTGACTGCGGTGTACAATAGTGTTGCTAGAGACGCTTTCTGAAACTCGACTTGTCACTACATCCCCCGCCCTATCCCCCGACTCCTTTCTCAATCTTTCGCCTTTCCGAAACTCTCCAACCTCCCACGGCCGCTCGGGCTGATCCGGCACTTCCTGCATGTCATGCTGCATTCCGGATTCGTCCTCCAGGGTCCCGGGGGGAAACACAGGACGAAGGACAAACATGTTTTCGTCTTTGCATATTCGGCGTAATCGGTCGAAAAACGAAAAACTTGGAAAGCAATATGAAAATACAATAATAAGGCGACAGACTTCACTGCCATCGTCGTTAGGGAAGAATGACGTGAAGGGACATGCGAGTAACATGGACAGCGGGAACGAAACAAAAACAAAAGGACACAGAAAAAATGCTGCACGGATAATATGACACGCTTGTAGGTGTGGTGCTGCGGACCCAAACAGCAAGTTATCGAAATTACGTTCGCGTGTAGCGGGAGGGGGACGCAAAGCGCTACAGCGCCTAAGAAAGCTCAAAAGGATTCCACGAAGGCATCTGCGGGCCCAACTAGATTTCTAAGATATAGTTGAAAATGCGAAAGTTGTGGCCGCACAGGCTTTTCGGGAAAGACAGCAGAAGGCGGCGGTGATTCGCATTAAGCGCCTTGGATAAGCATATGCGCATATATTGCAAGCCATAGGGGACATCTTGAAATGAGGAACGCATTGCAACCAATAATTGGGATGTCATCTGCGTCCGTTATCGAACACGTCCGCAGAAGTTAGGGTGATTGAAACATAGGCACGGTAGCTGTGGATACCTCAAAACGTTTCCGACATCATTCACTGAACATGTTGGAACAGCATTACCCAATTCTTGGCAGCTGGAATGTGAGAAGCCGATTGCCCTGCCATACTTCGTGGCCCCTACCACAGCTGAAATGGTGAGAATCCTCGCCCCCTGCAACAATTTCTGGACTTGCGACGGCTGAAATCGAGCCATAACGCCATAATGAGTCTCAATTCGATCTGCGAAGGCTGACATCGAGCTGGAACACTCTGCCCCCCCGTGGAGATTATGTCGAGAGGAACCTATGAACTGAAAAGAAGCCATAACACCATGGTGAACCTCATGTCTGCACCAAGTCGAGCCAAATCATCATAGTGAGGCGCTGGAGCCTCTCCTGAATCCAAGCGCGTCCTTACTTCAACGTCCTGACCGTGGCGACCGACGGCAGAAAATGGCAGGGTGAGCAGCGAGCAGCAGTACGAACGGGCGGGTCAAAGGCGAAAAGCGGCAACCCTTTCCGCGCCGCCGGCCTCTCCCTCCCAGGCGGCCCGCACTTTGAGCGGGACCTCGCGGCGACAGCAAGCACCCCTTTGGATGGTTGCCCTTACGGATGAAGGCCTACTCCTCCACCTCCCGCTCCTCGTGCTCGCTCTCCTCCGGCCTCCCTCCTCTGCCTCCGCATGTGGAGTGCCACGTCGGAGGTCGGACCCCTACCCTATAGAACAAGAACACCCCGTAAACGGATCCAGTACTTCTCCGACTCTGCACCGCGCCGAACGCAACGGCCACGCTGCCCATAGACGAACCGAAAATGTCCATGGACGTCACGGCACCCAATTTGTCCATAGACGCTTTTGGTATAGGCACCGTCCCCAAGTGTTGGTCTTCTACAGGCAGGTCGGCTTTGCCCTCCAACTCCGCCTCCTCCTCCTGTGGAAGGCAGACCGCTGGCTTGAGATCCTCACGGAAGGGCGCGCTGCCACGCCCCCCCCCCGGCGACGCTCTGCCACAAGGGAGGGTGCCAGACTAAACAATTTCTGGGTGAAGTGTAGAGGGAACGAAAGGGGATGGCGGGAGGCGACGAGGCGAGGTTCCTCCTCCTCCTCCTCCTCCTCCCTCCTTTTCGCCCCTGCTGTCAATGCGTCGTGGCGGCGAGGTTTGGTCCATGACACCGCGCTGATGCCTGAGGCTCCAGCCGATAAAGTAATTCTCTCATTCGTAAACTCAGGTTGCCCAGTGTGACGCTGTCGCAAAAGATCTTTACACTGGCGGGCCCTTAAATTGAAAACCCTGCGACGAACTGGCCGCTGCTATGCCGTGATAGCTACTGCGGGGCAAGATACTATCACGGCCTACTATCTCTCCCTGCCCCATCATTCCGAGCAAGATGTATTCGCAGCCGGACTGTGCACTAGACCTATGGCCTTGCAGCGGTCCGCTGTTTCTGTGCACGCACATACAGACTGTGTGAATTTGCCTTTGCTGGACTGCTGCGGGGGCAGCGGGGGCATTGGAAGACCCGAGTCTCAAAGGAACGCTGTAGGATCTGGCAGCGCGGGTGGCACATGATCTGCGAACATGTCGGTCTCGACTTGACGGGATACTTCGGCCATGGGTGCGGAACCCCCTGGGCGATAGTAGGATTCCCTGTATTTTCATATATTTCCCGGGTTTTTGTCTTCCCCCCACTTTCCATAGTTTCCCATCTTTTCTGGGGGATCGACGATTCATTGTGTTTGTGCGTTTTTCCCCTCGTCAGTTTAGCCATTCGGGACGAGACTGCCGACCAGCGGGCCGAACCGGGAGCCGCTGTGCTCCAACGATCAGGCAAGCATCGCCTCCCAAACGATGAGAACCTTTCATAAATGACTCATCCTGACCCAACGCAGTCTTGCTACTAGAGCGTAGTCTGGCAGTCGTACATCGACTGGGACGAAGGCCCGCCCCGAACTGACTGCTCTCTCGGGGACTGCGGGTAATACCAATGCGCCTCTCTCTTGCCTGCCCCTGGTGTGCAAGCCGGCAAATTGGATTTGGCGCGCAAGCTGTAATCTGGCAGTGGTCAGGGTGTCATGATCGGTTTGATTGTGTCGTGCCTTCGCTGGAACATCTAAATTGCAGAGCCTCGGTACGTATAGATGTAAGCCCACTGGCCAACGGACGACAGCTCCAGGAAGGCAACGGCCACAATCAATTTGCAAATATCTTGACGGGGGGCTGGAAAACTTGACGCCCGCCGAACATTTACAAACGCGAGGTTATAAGATGCTGTGTCCAAATTGAACGGGGCTTTGCGTTCCACCGCATGTCATCGGATTTCTAATATAATTCCGTGGACCCCTTCCTCCACCTCCTCCTCCTCCTCCTGAATGATGGTGATGGTGACATTGTTGGCTCCACGTGCTACCAATACCGACTGAGAACACCTCGCGCTTTCCTTATCACGCTCGCTGGGGCAGAAAGATTGCGTTCAACTTTGTCCACGCATCTGTGTCGTAACGGCGCGGCCGTGTAATCACAGCGCGGCCGCGTCACTTAGTTGCGGTTGCGCTACCATGGATTTGAAAGCCACCAACGAAATGGAACTCACTGTGATTGTACAAGGCTAGAACATCTGGTAATTTCCACGACTGCAGCGCCCATGGAAGCTCGGCGCGGATCGCTGTGTTAAGGTCTTCTGTGGCGGGGGCACTGTGCCAACGTACGAACATATGGGTCGCCCCGCAGACAGCCGACCAACTGCCAGGCGCAACCCGTTGGGCCTTCGCGGCAAGACCCGTTCTAGAATCCACAAAACCAAACCAGAATCCCCCCAGCTGAAATTGACTGGCAGGAAATTCCGCGCTTTCGGCAACCTCGACGGCACTGTTGGCCATTCGGTCGGCTCCTTACTTATATGTTCTGCGCTCGTGTTGGAGCCTAGAGGATTGAGGAGGCGCGAGAAAAGCGGCGCCTTCTCTCCAGTTTCGGGAGCGAGGCGTGTAACTGACGTAGTGCAACAAGAACGCCAAACTTAATTGCACCTCCAGAGCCCCATCGGCCCATTGTAGACCCGATCGCACTTTCGCCTCCGAGTTCCACGCGTTTTTTCCCCGTTTCTGATGCAGGGGTGTCCTCAGAACGCCTGACGGCCTTACAGAGCTTGGGCGGTGGTTGGACAGGCCACGGAATCCTTCGGAAGCCTTGTCGGCCCCACCCCAACTATATCGTGCACTGCTTGTCAGGAGACTCGCCCAGGCCGCGCGGTCATGGACAGGAATTCGATTCCCAATCCGTATCCATATTAGTAAATAAGTCGCATTGCTTCGGTCGGGTGTGGCGTGGTGTTTTTTTTCCCGTGCCGCGTGATTTTTTCATGTTTACAGTTCACCTGCAAACGCAACGCCTACTGGTACTTCCAATGCTTGGTATCAATGGAACTAATCACGCCCGTGAACCACCAATGTGCTGCAACCGATCGTTCGGGGTAGTGCGGGGTCACTGTGCGGTCTGCTTCCAATACGGACCGTGCCACCCGAAACGTGATGCATCCAAACCTCGTTTCACGGTAGTGGCCGCGCGCCTAACGAATCCTCCGCTTGAAATATGCGGTTATTTTCTCCTCTGGTTTGCGCGGAAGTCGGATATTACATCGAAAACGAACTGCCCCCCAACGTGCTGATCCTTCCAACAAGTATTTCGGCAATCACCGCCGCCCTGAACAAGGCGCGACAAGCGGGACATTCCGCTCGAGACGATGTTCGAAACGTTTCGCGGAACTGAAGTGTTCTTGTTGCGCACAACCCCTGTTCGGTCCAGAAGGCCCGGTTGGCGGGTGACAGCCGCAACCGAACTGCACCAATACTCAAACCCTGCAGAAACCATGGCTCCGAGTGCCTCCAACGGCTCGACGACTGGCAAACGCTCTTCCGAGGTCCCGTCGAGCAAATGAACCGCCGGCGGCCTCATAACCTCGCACGTCTCCCAGATATAAAGGCGTATGGAGCCAGGCTTCCACTGCAGGCGAGAGGCATGAAACTCTCGGAACTTAGCTCCCTGACCCAGAAGACTGCAAAGTATGTCAGCCACGGCACACGAGACAAAGAGTGCCAACCCGCATGATATGCGATCTGCCTATGGCCCGTCCGAGCCTAATCGTGCCGCCCCGCGCGCGCCCTGGGGCGCGGTTGGGGGCCGTGGCGGCGCCTGAGTTTGAACCGGGCGCGGCGGGGGCGGGCGTCGTCGTCGTTTGTTCGTTGCCGCGTCATAGCGGCGCGGCCGGCTAGGCACGCCTTCCTCGCGGAAGTCACCGCGCCGTCCTCGGGAACACCGCCTCCGCGGGTGCAGGACCGACGTGGCTCTGGCTAATGCAATACTCCGAAGCATCGGCGTCTCCACGCTGCCCTCGCTGCCCGCGCCGCTGCGCAAAAGCTCGGAAGCCGAACCGTGAACGGCGGCGGAGGAGGGGGAGAACGACGGAGGGCGGAGACGAGGAATGGGGGCACGTGAAGGGAGGAGACGGGGAGGCGAAGGGGGCGGTGACGCGCATGAGAAAGGAAAGAATGGGACGGGAGAGGGAGTGGGAGGAGGGAGGGGAGGAGGGAGGGAATGGAGACGGAGCAGCGAGCGAGGAGCGTGAGACGAGGGGGATGAGGCGAAGGCGAGCAGGGGGCGAGGAGAGTAAGGGGCGGGGCTCGGCGTGGGGGGCGAGGGGTGGAGGCGGATGAGGAGGGAGAACGGACGGAGGGCGGACTAGAGAGGCGGGGGATGGCGGAGGCGTTCGAGGGACAGGCCACCGCGCCCGACGCGCGCCTCACGGGCCGTTGCCTGGGCGGGCAGCGGCGGGCGCAAGGGGAGGGCGAATGGGGGGGGAGGGGCGGCGGGCAGCGGAGGAAGGACGGGAGGGGGACACCGCGGGGGGAGGGAGGGCTGGGAAGGGGAAGGGGGGTGAGTTGGTGCTTGGATCGGGGAGGCGTAACAAAAAGGGTGCAGCGGAAGAGGGACGGGAGGGGGAAGCCGCAGGGGGAGGGAGGGCCGGGAGGGGGAGGGGGGGGAGCTGGTGCTTCGGATCGGGGGCGTAGCAGACGGGGGGCAGCGGAGGGAAGGACGGGAGGGGGAAGGGGCGGGGGGGAGGAGGGGGGGGGGGGAGAGGGGGGGGGAGTTGGTGCTTGGATCGGGAAGGCGTGAGAGGGGGGCAGCAGAGGAACGACGGGAGGGGGAAGCCGCGGGGGGAGGGAGGGCTGGGAGGGGGAGGGGGGGGAGTTGGTGCTTGGATCGAGGGGGCGTAGCAGACGGGGGGCAGCGGAGGGAAGGACGAGAGGGGGAGCCGCGGGGAGAGGGAGGGCTGGGGGGGGAGGGGGGGAGCTAGTGCTTCGATCGGGGAGACGTAAGACAAGACTCGGGTTCGGGGAACTCGGGTTGGCATGACGGGGTCATCATGAAAATGACGGGACCCAATCTGAGATTTGACGAGAACTCCCGCTGCAAACATCCCAGGGAAACTGGGCCGTCAGAATCCATAGTGCGCTCGTCAAAAAGCGTCGGCAAACCCGATTTCCATCGTACTCGAGCCTAACGTTTCCCCGGTTGGAGGGGGGAAGCAGTCGTCGGGGAAGGGGGGGATGGAGGAGCGGGAGGGAAGGGAGGAGTGGGGCGGGAAGAGTGGGGCGGGAGGGATGGGAGGCAGGCGGGATGGAGGGTCCGAGGACGGCTGGGAGGAGGAAAGACTCTGCTCGATGCGGGATCCCCGCTGAGCCGAGCCTGGGACACGGATGGAGCCGTGGGCATTCGCCAGATTGAGTGGGGACGGGGAGGAGGGACGAGGCCAGATTGAGTGGGGACGGGGAGGAGGGACGAGGAGGGGGAGACTGGACAAGCGCGTTCCACTACTCGCGAAGTAACTACTCGCGAAAGGCACAGATCCGCCGAATCATTACATCGAGGCAGATATACATTTGTCGGACGCTTGCGAGTGGGCACTCTTGCGAGTAGGAACGCGCTCGACGAGAGAAGGAGAAGCGACACGGCGTATGGCTCGGCGAGCGGCCCAGAATGCCGGTGCTGCACCCTTGCTGCCGCTGGGGCCGTCGTTGGCCAAGCGGGGAGGCCCCAGGAAAGCTGGCGCCCACCTGGCCCGCTCGCCGAGAGAGGCTCCGACGGCCGACGGTCGCTCAAAGAAAATCACCGCTGCAAGGGTCCCGCGCCTCCCACGGCCAGCTGCGGCGGGGGGCGGAGGCGCTCTGCTCGCCATCGCTTGGACGTCCATTGTCCGTACACGTTTCGATGCCGTTTTTTGTTGTTGTTGTTTTCTTTCCAACATGCTCCTAGATGGTTCTCACCCAGGAACAAATGCACACGTCCGAGCGATGCCAAGTTTGTCGCGCGACCCTCCCGTGGCAAGCCTCCACGAGCGCCCTGGTGTTGTTGCGCGAGTGCAGTCGGACCTAGGACATAATGACATCCTGCAAGGGTACCCTGCCCCAAGATGCACAAGGGCTTCCAACGAGCCCGAAGAACATCAAGGTACCCTCCTCGAACCGACCTCCGTCTTATACCTTCGGCCCAACGCGCTGGCCAGCCAGAAGGGACCGCAAAGCACCTCAACGTTCAGAAACAAATCCCTCAAGACGGCTCAAGATGGCCTCCAAGACGACCCAAGCGGGTCCAAGCTACCTCCAAGTCCGCCCAATAAGCGTCCAAGACGGGCCAAGACGGCCCAATAGGCCCCCAAGAGGCCTCTAAGACAGCCCAAGAGACCTCCAAGAGGTCCTCCAAGAACGCCCGAAGAGGCACAAACCATTGATTGTCCTTTGGCTTTTTTCGATAAGGATTTTAGCATGTTTCTTTTCGGCCTTCCGACGGCCCGAGACGGCCCAAGAGCCCCCAGAGATCGCCCCAAGATCGCCCAAGAGGCCTCCAAGATGGCCCCAGAACGGCCCAAGAGGCCCCCGAACGGCCAAAGAGGCTTCCAAGACGCCCAAGATGGCCTCCAAGACGGCCCTGGAGCACCCCAAGAGGGCCAACAAGTCGGCCCAGAGATGCCCCTAAGACGGCTTCCGACGGCGTCAGACGGGCCAGGAACGCCCCGAGGCGGGCAAAGAGCCCCCCCCCGAGAAGCCCCGAAGGCCCCGGGGAGGCCCAAGGAGGTCCCCAAGATGCCTCCAAGAGGTTCCCAAGAAGCTCCCGGGAGGTCCCAAGAGTGCCCTCAGAGGCTCCCAAGATGCCCCTCCTCCTCCTCCTGACCGTCCCTGCCATCCTCCCCTAACTGTTCCCCGAAGGATTTCCACAACGGCTGGGGGAACACACTGTCCGATAGTTTGGCAAAGCTCTTGCCGCAACGCTCGGGGCGATTTCAAAAGGCAGGGGGCGGCGGTGATTCGCCGTGAGCGTCTTCGATAACGTAGCCCAATCGTGGCCAGAGCCTATCATGCCTCACAGCCTCGGACCCCGTCGCATCTCGGCGATTCCTCACGGGCCCCGTCTCCTCCAGCGGTTCCTCGCCCCTCCCCCTCCCCCTCCTCCTCCCCCTCCTCCTCCTCCTTCTCCTCCTCGTTCTCCTCCTCCTCCTCCTCCTCCTCCTCTGGAGGCAACCTGCTCGCCAACGTCAGCACCCCAAGCCAACAGAGCCACGTCTGTTGGCTTCCTTGTGTTTGCGACCACCGCTCCCCAACCGTCGCTTGCAACAAGGGTCGGACTCGACAACAGCCAGCGGCAACACCTATAGCTTCGCTCACTCGGATGGATGAGACTCATTCAATCTCCGGCAATCCTGTAAGATCGCACATGATCGCCGTGCATCGTGTGGTTCGATCTCACTGGTCGCACGCGAGGCATCGCCGTCCGCGAGCATTGCTCGCCCTCACGGCGTGTTGACTGTTCGCCGCCAATCACGCCACCGGCTGCATTCTATTATCCTCGCCCGTCACCCGCGCTTGCATCTTCCGTCCGCACTGCCTTGCTCTGTCGCCTCAGTGCGGTGGGGCGGCGTGCGGTAGACAGTGCAAGCCGTCGCACTTTCGCCAAAGACCCAGCAATGCTTTCGCATCCCGGACTCCTTCTCGCCCACCCCCCTGACACCCCCCTGCGAACAGCCGAAAAGAGGAGGGGGGTCCAACCCCTCCGTCGCGCAAGCGGGGGTGATCGCGTTGCGCTGGCAGAGCCCCAATCCCTTGTGACCGTCGCTGTTCCGCTCGATGAGCCTAGCGCGCAACCACTGGCCACTGCATGAGCATCCGCTTCGAAACTCTTCTGCTAATTCTGGAGCCAAGGGCGGCGAAACGACGGGCAGCCGAGAAAACTTGTCTCTCCTTCAACCTCCAAGGGCTCCCAACTTCGCGCTTCGCGCTGCGCGAAGCGCGAAATGCGAATAACTTCGCGCTCTCGGGCCGCCTCCCAAGGAAGAAGAGGAGGATGACGAGAAATCGGAACCGAACCGCGAAGCGCGAATAACTTCGCGCCCTCGGGGGCGCCCTTGACCTCGCACCAGGCTGCACCTCGAGACGCCTTCGAGCCTCAAACGACGATAAGAGGAGGCCGTGGCCAGCTGGCAGCGGGCGACTTGATCGTGGAATGGGGAGGGGCAGCCTCGCTCCGAGCAGCGTCGACTTGGTGCTGGCGACGCCAGTTGCAAGTGTGCTCGGGAGGGAGGGTGGGAGGGAGGGAGAGACAGGAAGAAGAATGTCTAAATGGGGGGAGGGAGGGAGGAGGGAAGAGGGAAGAGTTGCAAGTGTGCTCGGGAGGAGGGAGGGGGGGAGGGAGGGAGGGAGAGACAGGAACGGGAATGTCTAAATGGGGGGTCCGCCGGAGGAAACGTACCTTCTTCCCAGGAAAGCTTAATCCCCTGTGCAGCCTTGGGCCCCTCTCCTCCGAGGTGATGAGCGTAAGCCCTTTTGCTGTTTGCGCGACCTTCGCCCTCTGAGTTACGAAAGGGAGCGAAAGGGGGGCGGGGAGGGAGGAGGGAATGGCAGAGAGGGAGGGAGAGAGCGAGAGATGGAGGGAAACATATCGGGGCCTCTCAACGCCTGCTCCGCGCTCGGCTGCACCGGCTGATGCGCCATCTGCTGATTGGCAGGGACCCCTGCGTACAGCGCCTCGCCGCGCTCGCTCTCGTCCTGCGCGTGCGCGAGGCGCGCGAGGGCTTCACGCCGACGTCCGCCGAATAACGGGACGAGGAGTGTGGACGCGCGCGAGAAACGAAATGAAGCAAACACGGGTAACAACATGATGGTGGTGATGATGATGATGATGGTGGTGACGGTGATGACGATTCGGATGATGAGGTTGAGGATGATCATGATGATGATGGTGATGATGATGACGAGGATGCTGATAATGACGGTGATGATGATGACGACGATGATGACGATGATGTGATGCCGATGCTGCTGATAAGGAGGATGACGATGCCGAGGATGATAGTGATGATGAAGATGAAGATGAGGATGCTGATGATGATGATGATGATGTTGATGAGGATGATGGTTATGACGAGGATGCTGCTGATGATGATACTGATGCTCCTTCTCCTCCCTTCTTCTCCTGCCTCCTCCTCCTCCTCGTCGGGGGGGGCCCGCTCGCGAGGGCAACGACGGAGCCCCGAGACAGAGAGAGGGCCCGAGAGGGCCCACCACAAGCAGAAAGCGAAGCCGACCCGAGCGGAAACAACGGGGGGGCGATCCGGCGAATGAGCCGAAGGGCAACGATAGTCGGCGGCGAGCGAGGGGGGAAGTGAGAAGGAGAAGGCCTTCTCAGCAGGTCTGGATGTCCCCCGGCTCTCTGAGTAGTTTTCTGGGCCATCCCCGCCGAGAGGAGGAGGAGGAGGAGGAGGAGGAGGAGGAGGAGGAGGAGGAGAAGGAGGAGGAGGAGGAGGAGGAGGAGGAGGAGGTGGTGGTGGTGGTGGAGCCGTTGGGGGCCATGAGTCGATGTCTGACAGCACATCAAGCCCCTAGGAAATTGAGCTACTGCAACTGGGTATCGTCACCTCCGCCGCCCGCGGGAGCCGCGCCAGCTGTTGCTGGAAGCGGCCCCGCTCCAGCAGGGGCCCCCCATTGCAGCCTCGGAACCCCCGCCGATGCAAGCACTGTCTGGGGCCAGACCTCACGCCCAAACCCCAAACTCTGCAAGCACTGATGGAGGAAACAAAACGGGGGAGCGAGCGAGCTAACCCCAGTGGGCCACGCTCGCCCGCTGCACTCTGCGGGCCAATCTAATCCCTCGCAACCTGGCCAACGCCAGGCACGGCGACGAGAAAAAAAAGCCGAAACACAAAAACAAGATTTTTAAATCTCCTCCTCCTCCTCAGCTCGCGCGCGGGCGCAGCTCCCACTGGAAGTCGCAGCACCGCGCGCCGTAGTTGTCGAGCGGGGGGGGGGGGGGAGGGAAGGGGCGATCTCAGGGGAAAGCAGGGGGAAGAGGGAGAGCTAGACACGCATGTACACATACATGATGCTACTGCCTCGCACTGCCCCTCACCTCACTCGCACCATCCCCATCAGGATCTGGAACATAGCTATGCTCGATGACGCTGGGACGAGGAGGACCTTTTGGACCTTTTGACCAAGCACAGGGTCGTGCGGGGAAGGGGGGGGTGGGGGGGGGGGGGGGGGGGGGGGGGGGGGGGGGGGGGGGGGGGGAACGGGGAGGAAAGCGGACCCCGAACGGGGGTGCTTTGGTGCAGGTGGAACCCCACCTCACCGCCACACCCCCGCACCTCCCACTGGCCAGCAAGCCCTCCGAAGGAGGGCCCGTTAACCAGCGGAGGCGGACGGCCCACCGCCCACGCCCTCGGGCACAGCATCACGTGCGTGCAACCTCTCCAGGCCGCCGCGTTCGCGCGCATCGAGGGCAGCTTGCAAGGGCTTCGGCACCCCCTCTCTTCGGGGGTACTTGCCCCCCTCGATGCGGCTTAAATTCTCTCGGCCTTTGCGGGGCAAGCCCTCGCATTTCGCCGCGAGGTGGCGCCCATCGACCGTGGCGTACTTGCCACAGGTGGCGCAGAAACTCATGAGGTAACGCTCCCACCGCTGGACGGTATGGGAGGGGCGCACATCCCTGCCAGCCGCCAAGCCCCCGCCACTCGCCCCCACTCCCTGGACAGGGAGGCCTCGGCACTGGGTCTTAGCGGCTTCGATGAGACGAGACACGGGCACTACTATATCGCACTGACTGCACCCCCAGGCGGCCTCGGCTTGCTCGAAGCGGTGGCTGGAGGTCTGCAGCGCGAGCTGCCTCCTCGAAGGGGGGGCTCTCCGCTGCACAGTGGCCCGCTATCCACTCCATGGGTCAGCCTCCGCAGCCAGGGCCAACGCGCGCCTCGCGCGCGCTGGAACCAGGGGGCCGATCGCATCCCAGTGGTCAGTCTGAGGCTCACCCCCCTCCACCGACGCCGCCCCCCCTCTCCCCGCCGCCGCCCCCGCCTCTTCATCGGCCAGGGCGTTGCCCTGAATTAAGTAGGGATCGATCGGATCGCTGAGAGAGGCGTCTTCGTCCATATGGGAAGGGATCCATATCAGGTTCACCTCCGGCGACCGAGCCTGGAAGGCCACCCGAACTCGAGACCACATATCTTGATTTGCGCCATTCTTATGGAACTGCCGACCCCGTCCCCCGTGCTCTCATGAGGGGCTCGTGGTCAGTCACAAACAGAAGCCGCTCGGGGACATGCCCCAACGCGATGGCAAACGCGAGCAGCTCCGCACGAGGGACCGTTTGGCGCTGCCCCCCGACAGGGGTCGAAAAGCCCCACGCCAGCCTCCAGCCCCCTTGGCCGTCAGGCTGCATGGCGATCACCGCGGTGCCACACCTACGTCTACGTGGGTCCGCACTGTGGGCCCCCCCCGATCCGTCTCTGAAAACCACAGCACCCCCAAGGGTGGGATGCGGCTCAACCTCTGAAGTCGGGAGCGGCCCCAGGGACCGCAGGTTTTCTTCAGGAAAAACCGAGAGATGGGTGTAGCTCTTAGGCGGCACTCCTCTAAGCCACAGCACTGGGCAACTCTCCCACTGCACCTGGGCCTGCTGTCTGATGCACTCACTCTTCTCGAATTCTTCGAAACCATCATTGCGCGGGCACTCCCACACTCGATGGAAGAAAGTCTCTGCGCCCTGCGGGCACCTTGGACACACTGTGGCTACGTCATATCCTAGGGCCGCCTGTCTTTCTCGAGTGAACTGTCTACCTGACACAGCCGCAGTTTGGAGGCCTATGAGATCATAGGGTTCCTTTGCCAAAAACTTGCGAACTTCGCGACTCGCCAAGAGAGCGCCCCCTCCCCCAAGCTCCAACCCCTCACCACCATAATGAGAAACAGCCTGGGTCCAAAACTGGGACGCAAAATCCTGGGCCAGGTCGCCGGGCAATTCGGTGAAATCGGCATCCCCCTGCTCGAAACCAGCCTCGCTCGCGCACGGTAGTCTCCAAACCTCGCTCCCGTTCTCAGCTGGACGGCGCCGCGAGTCTGGGGGGGACGGGATCCATCCTGCCTCGTAAAGCGCGGCGACCACCGCGCTGGCGGGCCCACGCACCCTATTCCACCGCGTTTTAGCAGGCCAGAGCCGAGGGGTTAGATGTTTCCACGCCGCTCGGACGCGGTCGTGGAGCTCTGGCGAAGACTTCCAAACTAAACAAAACTCGAGGACCAACTGGCGGCGCAGCTCCAGAACAGGATCTTTGACCCCTAAGTGCATGGCGGGCACCGTAGTCAGACGCCGACCCGAACCCGTTCCAGCGATAGCCTGGCCAGCCTGCCGCCTAGGGTTCCGAATCTGACTCGGGCTCACGCCGTGCACTTGGTGCCCGTGCGCCGCTTGGGGAAGGGCCCCCGTAGTCCAAAGAGACTGCGATATCTTCGATAATTTAGCCGAGCGCCTGAGCTTCCTGGTGCGACGGAATCTCTTGGTGGCCTTGACAAGCCTACTCTTAGCTCGCGTGAGAATCCTAGCTTTGCCTACAGTGGCGTCGCACCCTAAATCTACCGCTGACGTCTCGGCTGAATGTGGAACCTTGGCTGCCTCCAACAACTGACTTATCCGAGCTCTGGCGTGAGAGGCTGGGGCCAGGACAGTGGTCTTATCCGAAATAACAAGCCGAGCATCTCGCAGACCTTCAGTCAACGCTCTCGCCGAGGCTGCCAAAGAAATCGCCGCGCTCTCTGCCGCGCCTTCGGCCCTCGAGACCGTATCGTCGATAGAGGGCCACAACCTGCAAACCTTGACCTGCCGATGGGCACGGTCCAAAATCGGAAACAGAAACAGTTTCGCGAGCGGCGCCCCCAGGCAGGGCCCTGCGACGAGGGAGCGCGTTGGGTAAATCGCTCCACTAGGTCCTCCTTGACTCCTCAAAAACCTGGGCGCTAAATAGACCTGAGACTCTAGTGCGACAACCAGGGCGAGAAACCCGACGTCTGACGCCGTTTTGATTAGTACCGCCAGGCTCAGCGAATCATAGAACATTTCTATATCTAACAGAGGTGTCGCTACCTGGGCCCCTGCTAGCACTGCTGTCTCGTCAGGCAAGCTGCGCAACGACGCGGCTCGCAATGCTGAGTTGCCTTTGATAGCCGCGTCCCAGAACTGGTCAAGGCCTGAACTCCAAGCCCCGACCAGCCCCGATCTCACTCGGCTCCAGAGCTTTATAACATTCGAGAGCATGCCGATCGTTCGGTCACCTCGCTGATTTGGTTTGGGCAAGAGAGCAGAAATCGTGGCAAACAATCTGTTCTGGCCACACTCCTTCGCATTCGACGAGATTTAAAAGGGCGGCCAACTCTTCAACTCCCTGCAATGGCAAGCGCTGCACGTCGGCCACTCGGAGAACGTCTATACCTGGGGCTTTCTTGGCGGGGGCCCGATGCCAGAGAGAGGAGAGGTGGGGTGGTGGTGGTGGTGTGTGTGTGCGTGTGTGTGTGTGTGTGTGTGTGTGTGTGTGTGTGTGTGTGTGTGTGTGTGTGTGTGTGTGTGTGTGTGTGTGTGTGTGTGTGTGTGTGTGTGTGTGTGTGTGTTGTGTGTGTGGTGTGTGGTGTGTGTGGTGTGTGTGT